TCCTTGTGGGGACTCTCCATAGGCGTAATGGTTTTTATACTGTACAGACCGTATATTCTATTGCCCTACACCAACCCTACCCCTAAACCTACCCCTCACAGGAGACTTTGTGCATTTTTAGATAAAAAAAAAACTTGATTCTGTATGATTTATAAGCTTTTGTACCCGTGGGGATTTAGGTCCCCACCGTGACACGAGTCCCCATGAGTCTGTGTGTAGTCAGGTTTAAGTCCCCACCAGGATATATAAACCAGTACACACACACACACACACACACACACACACACACATAGGTGTAAACATTCAGCAGTTAGATTATTAATCAAGCATTATGCCCAAGCCTCTGGCATGTGATTTGCATAATCAGATCGTTTACAATTAGGCTACATCTTCAGCAAAGGCTTACCTGTACTTTTGACAGCCCTTGATTCTTGCATTTTTCACACCAATACACACACACACACACACACACACACACACACATAGGTGTAAACATTCAGCAGTTAGATTATTAATCAAGCATTATGCCCAAGCCTCTGGCATGTGATTTGCATAATCAGATCGTTTACAATTAGGCTACATCTTCAGCAAAGGCTTACCTGTACTTTTGACAGCCCTTGATTCTTGCATTTTTCACACCAATCTCAATAATTCTTGAATACTACAATCAGGTTACATAATTGAAAAAGTTAAGTATTAATTATTTTAGATCAGCATTTATCATGGTGTTTGGGGCACATCTCCGGTTTCTTTCTTTCACAAAATGCGTTTTTTTCTTCACTCAGTGTGAGTCAACACTGACAGATACAACAATAGCCTACCGCTTTGACCATATGGATTGTATAGTGTTTTGCACGTTTAATTCGACCGCGACTCTTTTAGCTGTTCACCCATACCACTATTTGGCCAACAGAGGACGACGTGAATCTGAAAAAGTCTTCCTTTCGTCTTTTTTGAAAAGAAAAATAATAATTATATAATTATTAAAATGATATATATACAGTTTTACTACAAATCAATTTTAATTTAATTTATTGATATTTGTTAGATCTATATTTCACAATGTAGCTTCTAACTAACCGACACTTTCATTTTACAGGTTTCATGTTAGGACATGTTACATGTCTAGGCATAGTAGGCTAAACGTATAAAACGTGTGTGGGTGGACTGTAATATGACTCCTCTTCTGCTGTATTTATTAACGAGACATCGTTCGATACAAAGCCCGCCCCACCTCTGCTTCAGTCAGTCTGAGAGATTCAGATGACATGTTAAATGACATGAGGATACACACGCCTGTCTTATTATATGACGAACAATAGTGCAAAAGAGAATTTTGAGCAATATCACCTGAAACTATTTATTTGATATTGTTTAGTTTAGTGTCCACAGAATGAAAAGCGTCGTGACGGTGTGCTGTCTGAGTTTTCTGCTGGGTCTTGTGGCTGTAGTTGAGACTGATGAAGACTACACTGAGGATGAAGAGATGATCCTGTCTCTAATTCTGCAGGATGACACCCAGCCTGAAGCAGAGAGCAGGCCATCCGCCCAGTTTTACCGGTGCACTAAGGTAAGAGATCACTACCTGCTAAATGAACTTGGCCTAATTAATTGAGCTTATTTGTGGGACTGGTGATATTACCTGATAGCATGCATGCATATATATATATATATAATGTTTAGTTAAGGAAAATACTTAGGAGGAAAAATTGAGAAATAGGGGAAAAAAAAAATGTGTAGGACAAATTGCTGCATATTCAAAATGAAATAGTTCCGTTTTCTGTGTCTGGGGCAGCTATATGATTGTTTAGTAGGCTATTCTGGACATTTGGACTTAATCACATGAAATTGTACTTTTTATGAAAGCAAAAGAAACTGATTTTGATATGTGAAAGGGTTGTTTTCTGTTAATCACGCAAAGTGCACTTACTATGTCTACAGCATGCAGATTGTTTAATTAATAGGTAATAATGAAGTATAAAAAAATCTAATTAATAATGCATGTATAAGTAGTCATTTCCCGAGTGATACTAATAAAGTTTTATATTTTTTCCTAGAGCATCAGGCACATTATTATATCATCCCATACACATATTATTATATTCCATCACATACAAGTACATGGCAAAATGTACAGTTTAAAGCACGTAAAACAGAATAACAACAACAAAATACATAAAATGAACAAACACACACACACACACACACACACATATATATA